ACGGCAAAGCCCATCCCGATGCTGAGGGCTGCGAAGAGCTCTGGTGCTGTTTTCTGGGTTCAGCCTGCTGTGGCGGCTCAGTTCCTGGGTGGCAGCTTCCTGAGGAAGCTTTAGGCTGCCACACCTGTGTTGCTGCTTTTCATGTTGAATGTAAATGGATTTATCCCCTTCACATTACAGTTCGTAGCAAATAATGCTAGGCAGCAGTGTAGGCCAAGCATGTGGGAATGCACAGCAGATGTACGCCTTGCTTGGAGGTCATGACGGTCTCTCCCTCCTAAGGCGTGCTGGAGGTTTCTGTGAGCACAGGAGAGCAAGGCTGGAATTTTAACCAGCTTCAGGACACTTCACAGGTATCTTCTAGCTTCTTTTTCTGTCTGGTAAGTCTAGTTTCTTCTTCATTATCAGGGGAAGCAGTAAGTCACTGCTAACAGGAAAGCAGCAAACAGTATTGCCAGAGATGTTTCAGCAGAGGCCCATGTGCTGCAAACGCTTTTACCCCCATGTTTAAATCTCTTCTGTGTTCTTCTCTTTGAAGCAAGTGTTCAGGAAATAACAGCACTGCTGAGGATCGACGATCGGCCTTGTAGCCCTGCGAACCACCCCCTGCCTCTCCCCATCCCCACTGCTGGCAGGCAAAGCTGCTTGCAAAGCTCCTCATTAATTGAGCCTACGAGGACCTGGCTGAGGAGGAAAAAAGTAATTTTATGGACTTGAGAATGGAAAGAGACAGTTTTGTCCATGGCATTTGTGGGAAAGCTTTCCTGAGCAATAGATTGAACTATTTACTACTATTTATTAGCTAGTCTCCCTATTACTATCATTACTGTGCTATTTTTATTAGATGGAAGCAGCTTCTACCAAGCACCTGCTTTGGAAAATAACCCCTCGTTACTTTTCCCCATTTGACTGAATCTGCTTTTCAAATTGGACCTTATGGGACAGCATGAAGTAAATTTAGTACAAATTAAAATTGGGTTAAAATCAGTCTTCTGAAGAACGTTAACTAACACAAACACCTCTGGGTTTGAGTTATTTCTGTTGTTCCTGTGGCAGCTCTCTTTGCCCTCTCCTTCCCCGTGAGAGTTGGAGGGGATCAAGGATCTCTGCAGAACTGGGCTAACACACGGTAACGGAGACATCAACAGAAGCTTTAAAGAAAAGAATCTAAATAATTTGGATATTCTAGTCTATTCATTTTGGTGGATATGGTTTTGCTTTCTGAGTGAGAAGCAAAGCTAGAGCCGATTACATACTTCAGGAATATTTTTTAAATGTGTCCGTGTTTCCAAACCGACTGCCTCTCTGTAGGTACAAAAATGAACTGCGCGAGACAGAGGGGTGGGTCACTGGAAGTGGCGTGGTGTTTGGGGCAAACACCACGTACCGCAACAGAAAGGCTACTGTGACTTGAAGATCCCTTTTTTGCTTGGTGAAGAGGAACCTTTGCAGGGCAGGCAAGGCAGCGGGTGGCATTGACCGAGTATGTGGTAACACCACCCAGAGACGCGAGGCTCTGGTCTTGCTCCTTCCGAAGTGGCTGCCTAATTTTGCCTCAGAGCAGAATACAGCTTCAAACCCACAACCAAAAGATGGGAGAGGAAAGCTGCCTTTAGGGAGTTTTGGTTAGCTGTCAAGGGGAGGCAAGTACTAAAAATCACGTAGTTGTATTTAAGTGTAGCATTTGCCAGTAAAATTGTACTTTTGAATGGAATGTAGAAGTCCAGGTTTCTTGGTGGAGTGTGACTAAGCTGCTGGTACAATGCCAAGGAAACAGCTCCTTCCAGGAAATTTTAAGTCCACTGTTTACTCTGTGCCTCACTCAGAGGAGGATATAAGAGCGGTCCCACGCCCTCTCCCCAACACCACACTGCTGCGAAAGGGTGACAAAGGACTAACAGGTCAAAAAACACTTCATCAGACATGCGTGCACCCACCTGTCTTATCAACAGCACTTAGGTTACCAGAACTAAAGATTGCAGGTGTTTTGACATCACTGCTTTTCATGGAGTTTGTGCTGCCGTGACCAGACTCATTACAAGCCAGCCTCCTGTCCCGTGGCATGGATGTGGCCAGAGAAGTTCTGGAAGGAGCTATGTTGCCGCACTCTTTAATCTATTAGAGTTAAAGCATTACGAAACTGGCTTAGATCAGGCATAAAAGCCATTCCTGGTGTTTCGTATGTCTCCACTGCTGACCTCAGTGATTAAAAACATGTCCAGACATATCCATGTGTCCACCCAGTCACCTGGATGCTATCCAGTCAGTGGATCACTGTCCGCTCCTCTGGAGGCTGTTCTTCCATGTATTGTCCACTGCAGACTGGGTTAGTCTGGTGTCCAAGCAGCATTTCAGAGCACCGTCTGAATATAAACATGATTTGCTCAGGGTCTGTGAAACCCACAGGCTTAAGTTCCCCCGAGAGAGTTACCTGTGTATCTTTCTGCATCAAGGTGCAAATTTACCCTTGCAGCTGGGCCAGAGATCCTCTCAAGTCCCTCGGTCACCCCTGCAGACCCCCAGAAAGGCAGCTGGAGAGAAACTGCAAAGCAAGGTGTCTCTGCAAGGACTGCCGCTCTGTGATGGGGAACAGAAACTCCACAGTTGCTGTCTGAGAGTCACTTCTCAAATGGGACTGCTATTTAAGGGGATAGAAATAGTCTCGTGCTGATGAAAAAGAGGAAGGGGACGTTGTTTTTCTGAAGATATTTTAAAGCAGCCCTGGCCTTCAAGAATGTGAAAAGCAAGCTGAAATCAGCTGAGCAGAGCTCCATTTGGTGAACAAAACACAAACGAGCAGAGGCTTTGCCCTTTTAATGCAGTTACCGGTACATACACGCAGGGTTATGCTGCTGTAGGGATGTTTCTCAAGAGTTTAATTTTTGAGCATGACTAGAGTAGCCACAAAGACAATCTCACAGCCTTCATACCTTTTCCATGGTTTTGAGCAATGAACTATCTTTCCAGAGCTGCTCCTGGACTCCAGTCCCCACAGGAGCTGCCGCATGCCACCCCACTGGGCTGTCCCTCCTGCCTCCTCCACTCCATCCCCCATCCCCAGTGGGGCTGAGTGTCTCAGGCTCCCCCGGATGGGGATCCCTGGGGAAGGGCTGCCAGGGGGACTTGTCTTGCACTTTGAAAGACCTCTGTGGGCCTGGCCTCCTCTGGCAAACCGGGCACTCCAGCTCTTACTTTACTGAGAAGCAGCTTTATCTGTCATAAACAAACAGCAACCCAGAGGAGGTGCATGTGGCAGAGATCCGTCGATCTCACAGGGAGCTGGAGAGCGTTTGCAGCTTGGTGGCATGGTCTGCTTCTCTGTACCCGCTCTCCCTGCCAGCAGAGAAGCATACATAAAAAAGTGTTTTGGGAGTGGGGTGGGGCAGTATTTCTGAAGCCATGGTTGCTTCTCCATCATCAGCCCAGTGCCAGGCCTCTAGTGTCTCAGAGCATGGTTATGAAATATTTAATTATATTCTGCCAGTGTCTCCATCCAGGCACCCAAGGTGCCATGACCAGTGCAGGGAGCCAGGGCAGTGCCAACAGCCTCATTTTACAGGTGGGAAAACCAAGTCACAAAGTTGCTGCGTTGACCCACCTACAGTCACACACAAAGTCTGCCGGCAGCCTGGGATGGGCAGTGCAAACGTCCACCCCCGGCCCCCACCACAGGACATCACCTCCTGTGGTGGGTGGGTCAGCATCCCCCCTAGGGGCACTGGGGTGTCGGGGAAGCAGCTCCCCACAGCAGGGCCAGCACGTGAGCCCCCACTGTGGGGCTCTGCTGGGCTGCAGCAAGGAGTCCCCATCAGCAAGGGCAGGGGTCAAAACTCACTCTGGGGACTGGTGGTTTTTTGGAAGGGCTGTCCCCAGGCAGTGCTCCCAATGGCCACGGTTGCCTCACCACCACCACAACCAGCACAGCCCCAAAAGATCACATGAGACCTGGGGTGGCCATGGTACCCCCATTCAGGGGGTTAATCCCCACTTGGCTGGGATTTCAAGCACTGGCCCTCACCAAGTTCCCAGCTCCCTGCAGGCTCTTCCGGCTGCTCTTCAGCACGGGTTTGCAGGCAAATGGGCCAGGGGAGCTTTAGTGCTCTTGGAAGAAAGCAAATGTCTGTCTGACAAAGTCCCGGAGGGTCGACAGGCTCCAGGAGCGCTGGGCTTTCCCCTGAGCCCTGGCGTCCACACAGTCCCGCCCTGCCCTGGCCTCTCTGGATGACTTACAGTTGTTGTTGGTGTTGTGAGAGCGCAGCTGGATGAAGTCCTCCTCCAAGGCTCCCGCCAGCTCCTTCAGCTCCCTGGAGGTGTCTGCCCTCAGGTACTGCCAAGCCTTGAGCCCGTTGTGGTCCCTGCGGCTGGTGTCCGCCCCGTAAGCTCCCACCAGCACTTTGATGAGCAGCTCATGTCCCTGCAGGGCTGCCAGGTGCAAGGGTGTGAGCCCACCGCTAGCCGTGGGGATGTTCACGTTGATGGGATAGCCCCTCTTCTGGGCGTGGGAGATGACCTGGATGAAGCTCTCATGGTGCCCGTGCTTGGCAAGCCAGTGGAGAGCAGTGAAGCCCGTCACAAAGTCTTTCCTGGTCAGCAGGCTGGGATCCAGGTCCAGCAGCCTGACGATGTTGTCCGCATCGCCCTGGGCCACCGTCAGCAGCCACTCGTGCTCCAGGGGGTCCAGGGCAAAGGACAGCACCTCGGGGCTCTGCTCAGGCTTCTGCTCTTGGTGTGGTGCTGCGAGGACACTGCCGGTGTTGGATGTCTTCTGAGCAGTGGCAAAACGCATGGTGCTGCCGGGGCTATTGCTCTGCAGGAGAATTTCCTTCAGCTCCTTCCTCCGGGTACTGCCGAGGCCAACAGAGAGCCTGCCTGAAGTCCTGCCCCAGCTCCCGGGGCCCTGGCTGCCCCAGCTGACGTTCCTGTTGGTGTCCATCTTCTGCAGCGGGTGGAAACGCTCCCTGCTCCCTCCAGCAGCCGGCCAGAGATGGGAGCTGCGGGCCAGGCTCCCCGCACGGGGCTGGGCAGCTTCCAGGGAGGCCAATGCCTGGGCAATGCCAGCTACCCTCCGCTCCGACGAGCCCTGCTCCCGCTCCCACCAAGCCATGGCGGTGCCTCCGGCGGGGGCGGCGCGGACG